AAATAAAATAAGAAACAAAAAAAATAAAAAACGACCAATATAATTAGACCCAAATAAATAAACAAACGACTTCCGGTAAAATAACCGCCATAATAGAATACCCACAATGCACCACTAACCCGTATATATATAAATAGCCGAGAAAAATAACAGCATATGTGGCCTGACGATTGAATATAGCATGAAACAGACTGTCGCCTCTAACTGTTGACTTCTATGTTCACTTTTTATATATATATATATATATATATATATATATATATATATATATATATATATATATATAAAAGTTAACTTAAAAAGTTTAAAAATCAGGAGGGCAAATAAAATAGACAACCACAGTTTCGACATAGCAATCTCTTCGGTCGATACATGTTATTTTTAGTTTTACTTATTTTTTCTCACGTTTATTGATATATGTAGAAAATATAGAAATTGGATATAAAAATAATGAATGTGATACATTTTCGTAACTCTTCAGGTTTCGATTGAAATGCCTTAAATTTAATTTTCTTCAGAGATCTTCTGAAACTGAATCTCTCACCAAAAATGATTACAAATCCTGGAAGCTCTTTTCATTAAAGGAAAAAATATACTATTGGCAAAATCTGTTTAATCTTAATGCTCATGTGTTAAAATGCCTTTAAACTGGAATGTCGTACTTAGAACGTGGCGTCATGTTCTATTGCAATGACAACGCGTGAATCCACTTTACTTTCTACGATTTAGAATTCAAAGAAGCAATAATGAAAACAGTATATTAGTTATTTTTCAACTGTTAACCTTTCCGTTCCTTCATAAAAATCAGTAATTGTCGAAAGTAGAGAGAATTTTAACTTTAAACTTGGCAAACTCATTTCTATGCTTCTGATATAGTTCAATATGACACCAACAGAGGTTGCTAAAACGATTAACAGACATTCTTTCTTCTATTTCAATAGCTGTTCCTATCTCTTCGTTCTTTCGCCTTTTTCCGCGGTTTTCCGCGGTTAACCACAGAATGTATACAATTCATAAGCTTTAATTAAAAAATGACACCAAAGCCAAAACAATTGTGGTAGTCGGGAATCAGATGAGCCAAAAAGAAGCCATTAATCGTTTCCTCCCAGTGAAAAGGGTGAGGTTCTCTGCTTAAAAAGGAAAGTAAAAATGCCCAGATACACGGTAAGAACGGATTTTCTCATAGTCGCACCATTTTTATTAAATTTCTAGCAGCATTTCCCGACGTTGCCCGTGCTTGATTCAAAAAGCGTACGACTCATACAGCAATCGCTATCACCTGATTTAAAATATTTTTGGTCTTTCTTGCCTTTAAAGGAGTGCCCTTTGCCGTGCTGATGTTGCTACATGCCTTACTTCTTGCCTATCTCACACTGCAAATTTTTTCTAAGCTCTATACTTTAAACATTAAATCTGTTACGAAAAAAGAACTAAACTCAATGAACACAACGATCAGCTTTAAAAAAGGACGCGTAACTGGAAAAACCGAATGAAAAAAGAATGTTAACAACAAATACTTTTTCACACCCAACCCAGTTCTGCGGAATCAGAATCAACGTTGAGTTTAAGCAAGTGAATGAGCCAATTGGAGTAAAGTGCCATGCAGATTTAAATTTTTCCTACTTGTGACGAATGCAGCTATCGATTATTTTTGCATGCTAGCATGCTAGTTAACATTCGTGTCAGTCAGCTGTTGGCTCTCACGCTGGCCAATAGAATCTTCCTGCCTATTCGTGGCAGCCAGCTATAGGCTCTCACTCTGGGCAGTAGAAAATGGCCGCAAACTACATGAAAACTGCCGTAGAAGCATGAAAAATCGATTATTTTCACTATCAATGGGAGTTGGGAAATGCAAAGTGGGTTTTGGCCTTCCCACTAACTTGGAGCATGTGCATGTAAATGTTGGTGCAAATCCGTCGAAGATTGCAGCCGTGCATTCGTTACACACACACACACACACACACACACACACACACACACACACACACACACATGCTGCCTTTTACAGATAGAGATACACGAACTGGCCAAAATGACGTTTTATATTCCGCTTAATTTCGTCCAATATTTGGCAGTTTTCAAAGAATTTACTGAGTAGAGAAACAAACAATGTTGCTTTTTAAGGTTCCTCACACCAAAACAATGACAAAAGTTCACATAAACATATGTCCGCAAATCCTTTGTTTTTAAGTTAAATTTAAAGAAAGTTTACGGTACATAACGCTGTGTTGCCATGTAGATTAGGTCACATTTGTCATTCGTGTACATTTGTGGTGTATTTTCAACGTTTGACTTGTGCAGTAGTGAGATAATTATTTCTTTTAACAATGGCTTGATATTCGTATAGTGACCAGGCAGATATGATTTTTAAATACACCTTCGCGAATGGTAATGGACGCGAGGCTACACGGCTGTATCAGATTGCGTTTGCAGACCGAAGGCGACCATCCTTTGATACTGTTTATCGTAGCGTTGCTGAGACAGAATCTGTGGCACTACAAACTAGGTATCGAGGAAGACCGACCATGAAGAACACATTCTACAGGTTGTCAAAGTGGCTCTAGCATGTCGTACATCTCATAGAGGGTGATTTAAGAGCAGCTCCTGTGTTTGTATCATGTTGCACAACCAACATTTGTGTGCGGATTGGAATCCTCATGGTACAATACAGGCTAGACAGCAACATCAGTTTACGATTAATTTGTGGGCTGGAATTGTAGGTTACAATCTGGTAGGTCTATACGTTTTCCCAGCCCGTCTTACAAGAGCTGTCTACAGGGATTTTATTTCGAACACAATTCCAAACCTGCTAGAAGATGTATCCCTGCTAATACAAAAACGCATGTGGTTCATGCATGATGGGGCTCCAGCATATTTAATCGCATTCTTCGCGATGTACTGGCTAACATGAAAGACGGATAGGTAAGGAAGAACCGGCTCCTTGACCAGAGCGTTCTTCCAATCTCAATCTTTTGGATTTTTTCTGTGGGGACACCTAAAACAATTGATTTATGAAGTAGACATTATTAATGCAGAGACGCTTCATCAACATGTCATAGGGGTCTGGGAAACCATTCGACACTGTCTGGGAGTATTTGAAGGGGTCCGCCAGTCAATGATACGATGGGTGCATGCATGTGTAGAAGCAAGCAGAGGAATATTTTGAACAGATGATGTATTGACGTACAACAATGGTCTTTCAGGGACCTGCCCCAAAAGTTTGTTTTGATACACCATATACATACATATATATACATACATATATATATATACATATATATATATATATATATATATATATATATATATATATATATATATATATATGTGTGTGTGTGTCTGTGTGAGTGTGTGTGTATCTATCTATTTATATATCTATCTATCTAGCTAGCTAGCTATATGTATGTATATGTATATGTCTATATGAGAGGGAAAATTATATAAATATTTTATATACCAGAATAATGTTAGAGGATGGCTTGATCATCCACACCAAATTTGCGAAGAGTTTCATAAAACTTTTCACCTACCTTAACAGATCCATTAGCACAATATCGGATACTTCAGAAAAGAAAGTGATAAAAATATAAACAAAAAGATAAAGAAAATAATAAAATTGGCTAGATTTATATCCTAACACATTAAAAAAAAAATAAATGTTTAAAATTTCAGAGTCATCTCCCCTTGGTTCCCACTTTTGTAGTTACATCAACAGAAAAAAGATCATTTTAGTTCGATTATGTCCTAAAGTACCGAAAGACGACATACCAAAAATGTTTTCCACTTTGGCATTATTTTTTATCTCTCTCTCTCTCTCTCTCTCTCTCTCTCTCTCTCTCTCTATATATATATATATATATATATATATATATATATATATATATATATATATATATATATATGTGTGTGTGTGTGCTTGTGTATAAAGTATATTTTTAGATTGTTGATTTGTATAGTCTGAATCTATCTATCTATCTATCTATCTATCTATCTATCTATCTATCTATCTATCTATCGATGCCAGGACGTCCATATCTATCTATCTATCTATCTATCTATCTATCTATCATCTATCTATCTATCTATGCCAGGTCGTCCATATCTATCTATCTATCTATCTATCTATCTATCTATCTATCTATCTATCTATCTATGCCAGGACATCCATATCTATCTATCTATCTATCATCTATCTATCTATCTATCTATCTATGCCAGGACATCCATATCTATCTATCTATCTATCTATCTATCTATCTATCTATCTATCTATCTATCTATCTATCTATGCCAGGACATCCATATCTATCTATCTATCTATCTATCTATCTATCTATCTATCTATCTATCTATGCCAGGACGTCCATATCTATCTATCTATCTATCTATCTATCTATCTATCTATCTATCTATCTATCTATCTATCTATCTATGCCAGGACATCCATATCTATCTATCTATCTATCTATCTATCTATCTATCTATCTATCTATCTATGCCAGGACATCCATATCTATCTATCTATCTATCTATCTAGGATCTATCCATCTATCTATCTATGCCAGGACGTCCATATCTATCTATCTATCTATCTATCTATCTATCTATCTATCTATCTAAAATTTTCTCCTTAAACATTATCTCTATGGCTTTTGTTCTGTCTTGTCATATCTATTTTGCTTTGACTCTATCTACTTTGTCGATCCGTGTCTTTTCCTCGTGTCTAATATTGTTTAATTAAGTTTATCCTGTTTTATTTCAGATATATAAGCTTTCCACGCTGCACTGCACACATGCGTAGGTGCATCTACGATGGTGTTTTTTTACTGTTCCAATTTCCATGCAGTGTCGTATTTCTGTCCAAACGTTCATTCGCAGAAATAGCTTGCATTTTTTTTTTATTTCTTCTCCAATCTTCCGCGTTTCTTCTCATCTGAGCCAAAATGCCGCTCTTTGCAAACAATCAATTTACCAACACCACTAACGAGTGTCGTCATTAAATGGTGCGAAAAAGAAACGCTTGGAGAACAAAAGAGAAACGGCTTCACCTCCTCTTCTTGATTTTGTTTGTCGTTAGGTGCGCGCCCTAACTAATTCCTTTGCTTTGTTTTTGGTCGATTCTTTCTTCGACTTAAATTTATCCGTTTGTCATTTTCTTTCGTAGTTGTCTTTTTTATTTGTTTCTCTTTTTTTTCTTTTCTTCTGTTACTTTTTTACTTGCTCATCCTTTTCCTTTTTCCTGTCATTATTACCTCCCCACGCTCCGACACCAGCTATTTGGTCTTGTGATTTTCTTTCCTCTTCTCTTTTCATACAATTCCTTGCCACTATCTGTCCAGGGCCCTTCCTTCGAAATCGTCACGCCCATTTTTCTGCCTTCAATGCACGTGTCCATTTCCGTATCGACACACGTTAGATGTTCATTTTCTGACATGTAATTCGGCAGATGTAACTTTATTATTACGACATTCCTTCTGCCTATTCCGTTTCTTCGTGAACATCTTCGGCTTTTTTTATAAAAAAAATGTTTATTCTTTCTCCTTATTTTATCTCTTTCTTGTTTCTTTTCACTTTCTCCTTGTCTTTCTTTCTCTTTATCTATCTATCTATCTATCTATCTATCTATCTATCTATCTATCTAAATTCACTCATACCTATCTATACAGCTATCTATCTCATTTTATTAATATCTATCTATCTATCTATCTATCTATCTATCTATCTATCTATCTTAATTCAATCATATTCATCTATCTATCTATCTATCTATCTATCTATCTATCTATCTATCTATCGGTTCATATCTATCGCTTCCTCAATATATTCATATCTATCTATCTATCTATCTATCTATGTAAATTCACTCATACCTATCTATACAGCTATCCCATTTTATTAATATCTATCTATCTATCTATCTATCTGTATTTCAATAGGTTCATATCTATCGCTCCCTCAATATATCCATATCTATCTATCTATCTATCTATCTATCTATCTATCTATCTATCTATCTATGACTTAATCAATTCACCTCAAGCAAGGCAATGTTGCCACTAAGACTCAAGGAGGTACTTGGAGTGAAAGAGAATGAGAAAACTTTAGAAGGAACCGAAATTCCATTGCTAAATAGGAAACATGCGATAAAACTCTACTACTCCTCAAAAGACCGGGTGGAGTTTGAACCGAACAATAGGCGAATCTATCTATCTATCTATCTATCTATCTATCTATCTATCTATCTATTTATCTATCTATCTATCTATCTATCTATCTATCGCGGTCTGTTCACAAATATCTATGATGCAATACCCTGACTAAAGGTTCAGTGGAACGAGAACAGTCTACTCCTGCAGATTAGATAAACGGTTCAGTTCAGAATTTCCTGCAAGTACCGAGATCGATACACACCTGAGGAATGCTAGAGAACACAACGACCAAAACGTTGTGATAACAACAAAAATGACGAGAACATTAGTCCGAATATAAATAGTGTAGATAATGATAAGCCCTCATCCTAAAAGTTCAGACAGAAAATAAGTTTAAACATACAAGACTTTTTCATAAGCAATACGTTTAGAAGCAATTCTATTTAAACCTTACACATCTAACCTACTGACATCAGTGTGGCTTAAATAATTAAAGAAGGAGAGAAAACACAGAAGAGGTACTAAGAATTTTATTTTATACTGTATTCAAGTTTTCCACTTATTGCTCATAATAAAATGTCTTCCTTTTCAATTTATTAAACTCAAGCATTAAAAAATGATGCAACTGTTTAATTCTTTGAGCCTTGACCACCGCTTTACCGGTTGTAGAGAAAAATGACGTAATGCCTATCCACCGGTTGAAAAGTGGTAGAAGAAAATGACTTAATGCCCAGTGAACGGAGGGTAGACACTAGTAATTAATTTTATATCTACCGTGAAATATTACATACCAATTATTTGCGAATTTTGACTCAGGAGCTCAGGCAGATGGATTAAAATTGTTCAGGATCATAGAGTTCAAAGAGCTGAAAATCCTTGTAAGCCTTGCGAAAAATCTGGAAGAATTAGTAATTCAATGGAGAGTCTTATCTTAATTATCATGTGTAAGTCCTTTGTTGGACGTAGGCCTTATCCAGATCTTTCTCTTCGTCGTTCCAGTGGAAGAATGAGCCATTCTCTCAACGCGCTAGCCCAATGAATGTTGGCAGGGGCCTACAGTACATGCTGTACCCAAGTGGTCACCCATCTAGGTACTGGCCAGGATCAATGTTGCTTAACCCTTTGAACCCTGACCACCGCTTTACGGGTTGTAGAGAAAAATGACGTAATGTCTAGCCACCGGTTGAACAGTGGTGGAGAAAAATAACTTAATGCTTTAATAACTTAAACGGTTGAACAGTGGGGAAACACTAGTAATTATTTTTATGTCTAACGTGAAACATTACATACCAATTAGTTGCGAATTTTGGCTCAGGGGCTCAGGCAGACGGGCTAAAATTGTCCAGGAACGTAGGGCTCTAAACCTGAATAATACTTCTTGTGACCCAAAAATATGCAACCCGAGTACTGGGCAAAGTCCTAAGTTGTTGAAAAAAATCATTATCGCATACATGATAACGGTGGACTCATTAAACGAGTTTCATCATCGCTGAAAAGTGAGATATTAAGATGGCGGCAGTGCACCTGCTGAGAGGATTGTCGCGTACAGCTTGCACAACACCGCAATTTTTACCGTCACACAGTTTACAGCCGCAATGTTTTACGGCCACATTACCAGTTACCATACGATCACCGAATTTAAACAACGGTGAGCCTGGTCAGTTCCTAGATGGGTAACCACTTGGGAATATCAGCTGCTGTAAGCTTGGACGTGCCGATGGTGTAATGGATAAAAGCTCGGAATTGTTAATCGGAGAACTGAGGTTCAATTTCAGTTGGGTTCGTTATATTCATTTACGAACAAATACACTTTTGAAAAGGCATAAATTCACCTCTTCTCCACCCAGCTATGGGTTAATTAGTAAGTGTTGTATCATTATTATCTCCCATACAAAATTAAAGCCAGAAAATATTTTAGATTGTGACAATCTAAAATATTTTCTGGCTTTAAATACGCTTCAAAGGGTTGATAAAGCATAAAAAACGAACGAATCAGTCAATCAAACCACACCTCAGCGATCTATATCAACACTGTTAAGGACTCAGAGACATGAAGATGCAAGATATCAGGCTTAGCACTGATGTGTGTGTTACATCAGAGTTTAACTTATCGACGAATGTCTAATGAAAGGCTTAGGGTCCATCACTCCCAGTGGTCTGGATTGCTAAGGGAGAGGTTTTCCTATATGGGTGGAATAAAATAATTATCCTATACTATGTATAATCCATTACTATCTGTTGTATGTTTGGGTCATCAACAACGTGATTGGTTTTCGCAAGAGCTCTTTCTGATATGGAGAGTGACGTTTAGCAGAATTAAAAACAAAACCTCTAAAATGGAGGATGATTATTAATATCTATCTATCTATCTATCTATCTATCTATCTATCTATCTCATTCTGTACATATCTATCTATCTTTCTGTACAAATCTATCTATCTATCTATCTATTATCTATCTATCTATCTATCTATCGTTATGCTCATATCTATCTATCTATCTATCTATCTATCTATCTATCTATCTATCTCAAAATGCCTTACACTTCATTTGTCGGATCCAAGTTCTTTTGCAAAACATCTAAAAACACATTCCTGTCCACCTTCACAATGCAGGGGAATACTTGTGGACAACACCAATATAATCCACCACGAAAATAATGAACAAATCCTTGAGGCTCCCTATATAAAAATCAACCAACACTGAACACAATTTATTATGAATATAGCAACAACTTATAAAAGTGCATATTTCTACATTTCTGCCAATTTCTAGTCAGCTCCCTTACATTGAAACCGTTGTTTTGCTAAAAAAAATCCATAACTACAACAGATAAATTAAAAAATTCTAAAAAAACTATAACAGTGATTTACCGGAAGAAATATTTTAAGTTAAAGATTTTATAGATTTCAAGAGACATTAGTACTGGCTGCTAGGTCAATGAATACCGAATGCTTTCTTATAAGGAAACAGCTAATATTAATATTGCCATAGGTGCAAGGATAATAAATGTATTGGCGACATTCTCAAGGATAGTTGTATGAAAGTGAATGCAACGGACTAAGATGGGGTCGCTGAATTCATATTAGGTGGTGATAACCGCAATGATAACCTCAAAAATGAGTAATTTAAAAAATAATCCTGCACTTGATCATTCAAAGGAGAGACAGAAAAAAAGCCAGAGCGAAGAAGGGAAAACGTAGGAATCAATTATGTACATGATCGCCCTTGAGAAGTCAAATCTTATGTTGTAACCACTTAACTGTTTCCCATAGGCACAGCGTTACTCATGAATGTTGGGTGCAAAGAAAGATAGAAAGAAAGAAAGAAAGAAAGAAAGAAAGAAGAATGAATAATAAAAAAAAAATAAAAGCAAATAGCATTTATTTACCGAGTAAACATTCCCGCCTTTAACGTTCTTCGCTTCTTCATCAAAGATATTGGAGTTGTTTATCTTATTTATGTTACAAACAATAACTTGCTGGACAGAGAAACACACACACATACATACATACATCCACGCACACACACATATGTATGCACGTGTGTGTGTATGCGTGTGTGTGTGCGTGTGTGTATGTGCGTGTGAGTGCGCGTGGGCCGGTGTGTGCGAGTATGCATTTTTTATCTCTTAGGCGGCTTAGGTAAGGTTTATTTTGATACTTTTTTGTTACATTCAAGGTTTCATTATATATATATATATATATATATATATATGCCTCAAAATACATTAGTGTATGCACACACACACACACACACACATATATATATATATATATATATATATATATATATACCCCCAAATAAATTAATATATATATATATATATATATATATATATATATATATGCCTATATACTTATATAGATTAAACTTATTCACGGATTCTCTTGTGTAGATATATGCATACACACACGCACGCACACATACACACACACATATATATATATATGCGCGTTCATGTAGACCACCTGTATGTGTGCACAGATATGAGTGTGTGGTAGTTGTCATAGATTTAAGGTGTAGCAGACATTTTTCTATATGGGAGTTGTTAATGCGAGTGCTCACTAATTTAATCACTCACATTTCTATGACATGCCAGTCACGAGGAAATCTATTCCAGATGATCCTGCAGAAGAAAGTTTTTCCTGTACTTTTCAAGAACACTAGTGACTGAACACGATTTACTGATCAAATTTATTTTACTGATACTCTCTCTATCAGTTCCCACTTCTGTAGTTACTCCTATATGTGTGGGGCGATATTCTTTTATTTTTCTGTTTTAAGATTGCCCAATATAAGGCTCATAAGCCACTCCGGTTAGAGAATTACTAAATGTAAGTCGAGGAAAAAGAGAGTGAATATTATGAAAGATAGATAGCAATTGAGCCTTGATGTAAAGTAGGAATTCTTGAAAAAGTGTTGTCTGACTGAAACTTCTTCCTTACAATTGGAATACGAACGAAATGTGGGTGATTTACTCCGTGGACATAGCATGGTTAGTCGTAACTGTAAAGATGTGAACTGGGGAGAATAAAGAGTGGAGCTCATTTTAACATTTGCCTGGGAAATAACGATGATTTTGTAACTTTGCGACCCTGGGGAAAGGGGCTGCAGTGAGGAAAACAAGTGATCTTCTACAAGATCACGTAAAAGATTTTGAATTCTATCAAAGCTGGAAAGTGAGGATTGGGCAGTTCCATCCCCGGCATGACAGTAATACTACAATTTCTTTCTTCTAATCTGACTCTTGTTTCACCTGAAATCATGGCTTATGCTAACCTCATTGAGAGTGATTCTTGCTGATTTCACAGCCTAACATTCACGGTTGATATAAAGTCAAAAGACTATATTGAATCGATTGAGAATTCTGCTGCTAAGAAAGTCGGTACATTGTATATTGTTTTTTGTCTCCAGAGTCTATCTGACATATTTCTAAGTCTACCATCCGTCCATGCTTTCGATAATGCTGCCACACCTAGTTCGGTGCTCCTGTTTTATATTTAAAGATTCTTGATAAAATCTAAAGAAGAAACAGCAATTATTATTTTTTCTAACCTGGTGTCACGGTTTCAATCACTTTCCCATCGCCGTAAGATTGCCTCTCTGTGTCTTTTCTATAAATAGTCATGGCTGTCAGACAATTTCTGCGACCATATCATCCCTTACACC